TTATTTAACAACTTCAAATTAACTGTCAGTAGGTTTAATAATGCTACTGTCAATACTCATATGTTGAACAGTTTCCCACTCAGTTTGCTGCAAAATTAATTAGTGATTAAATGTCCTTAGACTATTTTGCCATTAATTATGCAGTTTCCCCTCTCTTTCTCCCTCATTTGACTTAGCACAGCTATAGCTTTCCCAGGAATAGCAATGCTCATTTGAAACTGATAGCTAACAGGCAAAGAGCCACTCTGTCAGATTGCCTATATGTACTTTCTGATTATTATTTTCTTTTTGGAATAGTGAGGGATGGAAACAGATTTTTAGAGAGAAGGAAGAAACTTTTGGGGAGAAGAAAAATGAACTTTTGGGTGACAGACAGAAATGTGCTGTCAGCAGATGGTCATATTTGCGGAAAACTCTGAGACAAAACATGAATCTGCTGGTTTAGAGATTGCTGGTGAAGAGGTGCCTGTACACAAATGCATACAACCTGGGAACCAAACAGGAGGAGCTAGAGCTCTACATGTGGATGCATCACTAAGGCATCTTTGGAATGACAGTGAGAGATGGATATAGGGAGACAAACAGGGAAGAGGTGAACGGGCTTTGTCTTTTGCCAGAAAAAGCAGTTCAGACAGGGTGGTTGACAGGCAGGTTGACTGCTTGTGGATTAGGATCAGAGAGGCTGGTTTGGGATGTTTTGACATTATTTCATGGACTATGCGATCAGGATGATGAATTGGACAAAGTCATGTTTAAGCACTTTATGGACCCTTGTTCTATCAGGAGACTTTGATTTCTCTAATACTTGCTGGGAGGGCAACACAGTGGAATATGAGCAATCCAAGAAGTTTTCGAAGTGTCCAGCAGTCAAAGGAACTAATTCACATGTAATATAGATCAGTCTGGGCAATGCTATCCTGGATTTGCTACTCAAAGAACAAGCAGGTGATAATCGATGGCAGCTTTGTCTTGTAGCAACCATGAAATGGAGTTCAAGATCATCAGGGGAGTGAGGAAAGCAGGTAGTAAGGTACAGGCCCTGGACTTCAGAAAAGCAGACTTTGCTTTATTTGGGGAAGTGGTGTGATCCTTTAGGAGGCAGCTCTGCAGCATAATGAGCTCAAGAGATCTGGCAAGCCTTTAAAGACAACATGGTCCAAACAGGATTATGGTTCCTCCCAATACACAGGGAAATGAGTAGATGTGTCAGGAGGCCAACTTGTCTAAACAGGGAACTCGGGATAGAGCTCCAGTGGAGGGAAGAAAACAGTGCTTCATGTTAGAGGAGGAACTGAGGACAGGCTACAAGAAGGAAATAGAGAACTATTGCCCAGGCATTGCATTGGTCTTAGGAAAGCCAAAGCTCACTGCAATTGAAAGTAGCAAGGATGTCTAGGGCAGGCAGAACAGATTCTGCTACTCCATGACTCCATGAGCAGTGAAAAGAAAAAAAAGGAAAAAAAAAGGGGATTGGGAAACTGAGCGGGGAGAGACTTTCTGTTGGATGGAAGGGTGATTTAGTGACAGTGGATGCAGATAAGGCTGAGATACCTGATACTTTCTCTGCCTGCACCCTCACTGACACCAGGCTTCCAGCTAGAGGCAAAATTTAAGGAAGAGAGGAGCTGGAAACTCTTTTGAGATCTTGACCCATATAAGAGCCTGGGACCTGCTGGGCTGCATCATAGAAAGGCTGCTGGTTGTCATTCCTTGAATGAAATTTGCATGAGGTTGTAATGATGGGAGGATGGCAAATATTGCCATCCCATTCAGGAACAATGGAAAGGACAATCTGGGGAACTGCAGCCTTATCAGCCTCACTTCAGTCCTCAGAAAAAAAAAGAACATGGAGCAAGTCCTCTTGGAAGCCACTTCTGGGCACAGGAAGAAGAAAGGGATCGGGAACAAACAGCTGGCATGGATATGCAAAGGGTAAATCATGCTTGACTGATGTGATTGCACTCTGATGAAATTACTAGATGTGGGGATGTGGGCAGGGCAGTGCTATCTGGCTTCACTTTAGCAAGGCTTTTATTGCTGTCTCCCGCACTCTTCCTGAATTCAAGTTAAGATGTTGTGGTCTGGATAGGTGAGTAACCATGCCATGAAAAACTGTTTGTGTGACTGAGCTCCAGAAGGTGTAATGGGTAGTGAATCATACTCTTTCTATAAGATGGTTAAGATTGCAGTCTCTAAGGAGCCTCTCTCGAAAGCTGTCCTGTTTCGTACCTTTATCAGTGACAAAAGTGATGTGACATTGCATTTTTCAGAGGAAACCATTCCTTTTGTTTGTGAAATCTTCGTTTTTGTAATGCAGGCAGGTACATGAATAAAAATAAAAAATAGTTGCACTGGTCTTAAGCTGTAGGCAGTGTTAATCTATTTAGCTCTATTTGGGGGACATTTTTAATGAAGATTGTTTTTTACAGTTATTTAACTATTTCTCACTCTACCAAACTTTTCATATAAAAAATTGCCCAGTTTTTGACTCACTAATACATTCAAAATGAATCTTGAGCATACATCTGTATGTAAGAGCACATATAGTACTACATAAGAGCTGTACTTTATTTCAGTTATTTACATTATTGGCAGATTTGACTATACTATATTGCCTACTTAATATTTAATATTCCTTTTTTTTAAAAAACCCTGAAACTACTGGTTTAGGATAGTGTGTCACTGTGTCTGAATGTATGCTTTATGGCCTCGTCTCTTTGTCCGTAGGAAAGCTCCTGCTTTCTGAAAAACAGGTTTAAGTGTAAACCTGAGGGACAATAGGTATAATGGCAGATTGACATCTATGTAATATACTGTAGCTACCAGTACTATTATTAGCAGATATAAAACCCTCAATCAGGAATGTTGATCTTGTCAGTTAGTTTCTTCAGAAATTTAATTGACTCAAGTTTGAGAAATGTATTAATAGATATAATTCTGCGTGCCAGTGATGCTTGCCTGACATGCCTGTCTCGACCATTTTTAGTGGATGTGTTGTTTTGTGTTTCCATTAGGTGAAGCTGTAGGAGCTGGACTTTTACAGTGTTGTTCTGTCCCACTCCTTGCAATGACTGTTCGATCACCAAGTATGTACATGGACAATATCATGAGGGGTGGCTGTTCATGTAAGAAATGTAGCTCAGAAATGTGCTGAGTTTGGCAGCATTGGAGGCTGTCTGTAGGCAGAATTGATAGGCATAAATAATACTGTTGTACAGGCAATCGCTTCTTGTTTTAATACATGTGGTTTGATCTTAAAGATTGCTCACAAGAGGCTTAGGTATCTGAAGTTAGCAATTGTCTGAAGGGATATTGCAGTTAGGCTCAGGAAGTCACCGCTTATGAAGCAGAGAACAGGGATCCTTGAAGAACCAGTATTTGTTGCATGTCTCAGAAAGGCTGAAAATATATATATGATTTATCAGGACGTTTCAGAGGGAAAATATTTTCTGTTGTGTTCCGACTGTAGTCTACAAACTAGCGTGGATTAGTGCAAACTTTACCGAGAGAAGGTCAGAATAAGCCAAACAGGAATTAGAATTCACAGAAAGGATAAAATTTTAAGTTATTTGTTACTGCTAGTTACTTTAAGTGATTAGTAGCTTCATTGCATGTGCTCTATGTTGCTTACAGACAGACAGCAAGATAATATAAATTTAAATTAGGGTAGTCTAGCCTTTGAACTGACTCAATCTGCCAGTTCTTACCTGACCTCCCTTATTATCAAATAAGATGTCATGCTGTGATGTAATACTGTGATACTGAAGATAAAAGTAGAATTGTAGAATTTTAAGTGCTTGCGCAAAGCCAAAAAGCACCTACTGGCCTATACATCATCTGGCACTCGAATGTCAACCCTACTGCTGCTGAATGCACCAAGGCAGCTGAGAACTAGTAGCTCAGCAGTCCAAAATTGACATTTGTTTTTGTCTATGCCACATGCAGACCTGTGTCTGTTGACCAGAGCCTTGAAGCAGTGCCTCAGTCTTGGCACTGAGCTTGGGTCCCTTATTTATCAGTTAAGGTCTCTTTATCGCTTATCGACTTCAAACAAAAAAGAGTTTATTTACTTCAAACTTTTTTGTTTGCAGTAAATAAGTGATTAAAATCTCTTGACTAGGATGCATTTTTCTAGTGTGAAAAATACAGGTACCTTCATTGAACGTCAGTGGTGGTTTCACGTTGCGTTGGAACATAGTGTAACCTTGACAGTGCATCCAAATTAATTATATTCTTATCCTTCCCACAGGGATTTCAAAGAAACTGTAGAATCTTGAGCAGTAATTATAGATGTTCTTTTGATTGCAAATGATTGATGACCTTCTAATTACATGGATATTCTTTACCTACTGAATCGTTTTAGTCGTTAATGTTTCTGATATTAATCAGAAAGTTTGTTTTTTTGTGCAATTCTCAAAAGTCTTGCTCAAATGCTAATAAAATTTTACTGAATTTTACATACATGGATGAAAAATACCTGTGGGAATATGTGTTACCATAAAAGTATGAATATTTGAGTGTAGTGTTTTTCTACTCTTTAAATATGTTATAATTTGGAATTTCAGAGTGCATCTTTCTTGTTAAAATATCCAATGGTAAATTAAATAGCCAACTTTATCTTGAAAATCTACTGCGAATTCTGTGTTTATCTAACAGATTATATCTTTTTTATAGAAAGTGTTCTTCTATAGCAATAGAGAAGATAGCATTAAGAAAATTATTTCATTATGAACAGTAGAGAGTTGAGAGAGGATGAGAAACCTGGGGGAGTTTGGAGGCTCTGAGCCAAAGTAACATTCTCCAGAGGTAAGACCTCTGCAGCATGTGGCTCTGCCTGGACGACTTTAGGTTATTTTGGGTATTTTGCATGAAAGTCTTGTAGTGGCAAGGTCTGAGTCTGTGGTATGTAATAATTTCTGTTCTTACCACCTTTCTGTTTCATCCAGCAGAAAATCATAGATATAGGTTGGTGGAGATATCTGTTTATGTAATAGTGGGTGACTGCATCGCAGCGCACAAGGAAGGTGGTGGGAGGGAGGACTCCGATGGGGCTGGGATCACGTTGGAGCTGCACTTTGGGGTGCTGGGCTCACGCTGTTGGAATTGGGCCCTTGCGTGGACTGGCCTGTCAGCTGCATCGGGGTTTCCTCAGGCCTCCAGTTTGGATGAGGAAGAGCCGCACAGTCCTGAAGTGCCAGCAGGAAGACCCATGACTTGGAGTAGCCCAGCTGGCCTGGTAAAAATGATAGCTTGCACTTTGTCTAGCTTGTAGTGTTTGCCTCATGATGGTTTTATGAACATATGTTGTGTGGCAAACTAAGGAAGAACTGCAGGAGACCTGATGTAAAATACATATTTATTTATTTATTTGTTTGTTTGTTTTCAGAGAGGAGGAAAAAAAGGGAAATGCGAATTAAGCCCATGAACATGCTGTGTCAGACAAAAATGTTTAAAGAAGTCAACAAAAGTTGTTATGAGCCTGGGTCAGATTGTCAAGGGATTGCCACGCTGCAGATAAGGCCCTGAACTGTAACCAGGAATTTAAGGAAAAGGACAGGAAAAACACTGTCTCTCACTGTCTCTGGGTTTTAGTAGGCTAACTAATGCAATAATTATATCAATAAGTTTTAAAAGCAAATTTGTCTCTTTGCTGCTATTTTTTTCATTTCAATGGGATAAACATTGAGCAATAGCTAACAGAACAGGAAAAGAAAATTAAGTGTAACAGAAAAGGTGGATGGAAGAAGAAAGATTTTAAAAGCTCAACACAATACAGGGAGCTAATAAAACTACAGATACTGTGACCTTAGGGACTGAAACATGCTAGACACACTGATGTATAGATGCGATACTTAAATGTGCTATGAGGGGAAATCCAGTAATCCTCACTAAACAAAAATCCCATTGAAGCCGGTAGAAGATTTGGGTGAACAAGGAATGTATAACTGGGCAATTAGAGACAAACTTGCAGCCTGACCTTGACTGGGCCTTTGTGCCTGTGATTAGCTGTACCCATAGCATCTCAGCACATTTGTTTAAAGGCACAGTCAGTTTTAATTAAATCTGAAAAAAAATGCAATTATGCCAGCAGATTCATTACTTTCAACTTCTAATTGATCCAAATGGCAAATGCAAGTAATTGTAGAATACAAATAAAAGGTTCACTTTTAAAATCTGAGTCTTACAGAACAGCAAAAATTCTACGTTCTTTGTTGACTTCATTCTCTGGCAAAACAGGAATTTAATAGATGCTGTTCAATTCTTGTCTGTAATAAAAATGTTTGACATTTTTCTGACTTTTCAGAAATGGAAGACAGGTCTGACAAAAGGTCAGAAATAACTTGAGAGTTAAATTAACTAAAAATAAATAACAGCATCTACCATAAACTTTCAGAAAGGTACCTTAATGCCTTATCTTATAATTGTTCTTAAGCCACTTGACTATGGAACAAACTGTTCTGAAGTTTCATTTGTGTTCTTGCCATCTTAGTTCAAACACAATTAAAACAAAGTTCAAATATAATTAAAAATAAACAATATATTTTCTTTGAAAACAAAATTTGATTCAGCATACCAGAAGTGTCATTCACGCTGCCGTTATTCCAACGGGACAAGTCTCAATCCCCTTATGTGTGAAAGCATTGAGGAGTTGCAGTTTTCAGTAAAAGAAATGCTAGAAACATACATCGAAACAGAATAGTTTAGTCCTGTAAAAGATAATGTCAGCAAACACAATACACACTTGTTATAAGCAGAAAAGAGTGTATATTCAGCTCTGAGGTCCTGCAAAGACTTGTGTGCGCTTCATGCTATACACAATCAGTTGCAGGGTGGAAGAAAAATCAAAGGAATCCTATTACACACAAATCCCTCATGGTTTTACATGCAAATTATTGTAAATAATCTCTGCAGATTGACTTTTGAAAGTAGTTTGGTATGCAGAAAGAGCCGTTCCTGAAGAATTTTTGGTAGAGCTAAAGAAATTCAAATTTCTGACAAATTTTTTTAAAAAAATCCTGGAAACTTTTGTGAAAACTGAATAACAACATTTATTTTGTTCAGAAAGGGCCAGAGCCCTTTACCTTGAGTTAATTGCATATCACTTTCATATTAGAATATGGATTAGAGGCCATCTGCATTTTCTAGTCCTTTTGTAATGTCAGGTTTGTACCTTTCCTCTAAAGAATGAAGTCTCAAGATGTGCCGTGCCTGAGCTTGGGTGCTAGGTTGCACCATCCTGGGTTCTCACCAGTCTCATTCCTTAATCTCTTTACCCTTTTCCCTGTTTTCCCATCACAAATGTACCTGGATTTGCTCAATTACAGTTTTCTCGGAAAAACCTGTGGCCAGGTTTGCTTAAAATAATGGCTTAGTTCTAAGAACAGATAAAAAATATTTCAGCATAATAGTAAGATTTATGCATGTGCTTAACTTGTATCTTTCAAGAGTCTTTGAATAACGAGAGTCTCTGTTCACATTTTTTAACAGTATGCCTCTTTTTAATCTAATTATAAATCCCTTTTTTGATGGGTTTAGATAAGAATTCAGGTAATTTAGTAGTATTTTATAGGGAAAGTTTCAACTAGAGGCATCGTTAGAGTTTTAAGATACAATATAACTTTTACCAGAGACTATACACCTACAACCAGTGGAACCTGATAGCTCTGGGCATACTTTACAAATCTGTGTCCTTGCAAAACTGTGTCCCACAGTGAAGCCTTCTTTGAAAAGTCGTTTGGTAACACTGTGTTCAGCACTGGATTACCAAATGTCTCCTGTCAGTATAATTTAGGAGTGATCCAGTTTAATACTGCTAATAGACCATGACCTTTTTTTAGGGTGACATTATAGTACAATGCACTATTCAGAATAATTAAAGCCAGAAATAATGGGCAACATATATTTGTCTTAATTTGGTTGCGTAGAAGGGAATTGTGACCGAACCCCAGTCTGGTTCTTGCATTTGCCGTTCTCAAAGATTCTTTTGCCTTTTCCCATCTCTCACGCCTTCCTGACAGGTCTCTTAATGCCGTCAGACTTTCCCATAGTACAGTGAGCTTTCTCCTTCGCTGATACAAAGGCGTTACTTCTTTTTCTCCTGATCAATCAAAGACCCTTGGGCTGTTTTTTTTTCATTCTCTTTCTTTCTTTCTTCCTTTCTTTCCTTCCCCCAAGTACAGCAGTGCTGTGGCAGTCCCACAAAGCTGCTGATGTTCCATCCTGGAGTTTGGAAGGAGGTTAGCCCAGCAGGGAGGAAGCCGTGGGATGCCTGGCATCCCTTTCCTCCCTAGGGACAAGGAAAACCTGCACTGCTGGTCTCAGTCCTGCAAAGTGCCACTGGTGCAGGCTCTTCCACCAGAGGAAAAGTGCTATTCTTCCATGTCCAACTCTTCCATACTGCTTGAACGTTAAATCGCTGTATTTATTTGCGTTTAAATAGTTTGCTTTTAATGGAACAACATGCTTTTGTGTGCGAGTAGAGGGTTTTGTTATTGTCTTTTGTTTTTAAACTGCTTTCAATGTAGTGTTGTACTTAAAGGCTTGAAAATAAATCTTCTTCTCTTTGTACTCTTCTAATCCATGTGGAATTTTGGGATTAAGATTGGATAGTGCTTTTCTCTGTTGTCTGTTTCCCGCAGCATCAAAGCACAAAGCAAAAACATTACAGGCTAAGTGTAGTGTTTTTGTTCCTGTATAATTTCTCTGTAACAGATGTCAGTGATAAAAAGACAAAAGAGATCCAAGAACGTTCCACGCAGAATTTAGGATGGAACAAGTTTCAAACGAGATTAACAGAATGGCACAAATAGGCGCTGGAGAGCAAGTCCTTTGCGATCTGTGCCTACCTCACACTAATGAAATTCAGATGGTCTCTTTTTTAGGCCTGTGTTATCAAAGAAGTTTTATATAAAATGTTTGGGCAACCCCCAACTTTGACGTCAAAAATAAAAGCTTCTTTTTTTTTTTTTTTTTTTCTCCTGGTGTCTCATTAATGAAATCATAAAATAGCTAAATTAGACATTACTTTTGATGGAATATACTTAGAGACTCGTGAGAATTTAATGAAATGCACAGGTTTCTAAGGGACTGTCACTTTTTTCATTTGTAGGAAAAATGCCTAGAATAATTTAAAATAGCTATTTTGCAACTGGAATTGCTGTTTGATAACTGACTCATTATTCTCTAGCTTTTGTTGAGCTTTAAGCAGTGTATTATGTTTAGAGTTGGAATATTTGTTGGAATAGGCAATGTGACAAGGTAGGTGGTCTTCTAATTAATATTTTTGTTCAGATCTGTAAACTCTGCAAGGCTTGTTTAACAGTACAGAAATCATGTCCTATTAAATTGAGACATTTGTTTAGGAATAAAGTTCAACTTTTTCTTTGAAATGTAATTGATCTTGTTTCATGGTCTGTGAAATTGTTTATTTTTAAGAGCTGTTTTCAAAGTATAATTAATTCAAGAAAATTCTGTGACCTGTTGCTAAATATTTAGACCATGGATTAATTATATTTGCTGAGAGCTTTAAATAGTGATTTAAGCACTTGGTGAAAAGGAAAGTTACTTAGCAATGAAAGAAATTACACAAGAGTGGTAAGAGGTGATGTGTGCCTTTAATACTTCTTCCTTACAAATAGCCACCTTGTTAAAAATTAGAGAATAAACAAGTCGGATTTAAGACTACTTTAAAAATAGTGAGACAGTTTCTTGTGATGTACCTGTATGTGTTTGGCATAACTCAGAAACATTCTTAAAAATAAGCTATTTCTTACCCCCACTGTTACAGAAACCTTTTTTTTTTCAATTGGGCATTGACTCCTAGGATAGAAAACATTATATAAAAACTACACCTAGTGACTTTTTGAAGCCTGTCATTTGAAATGTGGCCAGAACCCTAATCTATTACTAACAGGATGTCTTCACATAGTAGGTAACCTATGCTTGAGCAGTACACCAGAATGGGCTGGCATTGAAACTGAAATGAAGGAATTAGCCGTTACCTTTCAATTCAGTAAATCTCCACTTGATATTGAGAAGCTACTAAAATCTTCACTGCCTGTGTTACATCTGCTGAAGTGATGACAGACAACTGCAGATTTACCATTTTGATGGTTTTCTTCAAAAACTGTCTCCATATTTGTTTGCTTTTAGTGACAGAGCTAATGGCAGTTACTAGTAGAAGTAATGATAATATCGAGGAAAGTTTAGTAAAGATGGAAAATAAACAATCTCAAA